TGGTGATAACACCATTATCAACTAACAGAGCCACAGTGCCACCTTTTCAGGTCTATCCTAAGTGACCTACACCTGGTAAGATTCAGATCCCAATCAATGGTATCCTACCAGAGATAGTAGGAACTGCAGATGCTGGAGAATCCGAGACAACAAGGTGCAGAGCTGGATGAACACAGCAGGCCAAGCAGCACCATCATAGGAGCAGAAAGGCTGAAGTTTCGGGCCTAGACCCTTCATCAGAAAATTTTCTGATGAAGGCTCTAGGCCCGAAACGTCAGCCTTTCTGCTCCTATGACGATGCTGCTTGGCCTGCTGTGTTCATCCAGCTCTGCACCTTGTTGTCAATGGTATCCTACAGCCGTGTTTCTGTGATGGCTACCAGATCATTCTTATTTATTCCTTTTTGCTCCCTTAGTTTATCTGTTTTATAGAGTCATAGTGACGTACAGCACAGAAACAGATCCTGTGGTCCACCTCGTCCATGCCGACCAGATATCCTACATTAATCTAGTCCCAGTTGCCAGCATTTGGCCCATATCCCTCTAAACCCTTCCTATTCATGTACCCATCCAGATGCCTTTTAAATACTGTAATTGTATCAGTCTCCACCGCTTTATCTTGCAGCTCATTCCATCCATGCACCACCCTCTCCATGAGAAAGTTTCCCCTTAGATCCCTTTCAAATCTTTCCCCTCTCACCTTAAACCTAGTTTTGGACTCCTCTACCCGGATAAAAGAGCATGGCTATTCACCCTATCCATGCCCCTCATGATTTTATAAATTTCTATAAGGTAACCCCTCAGCCTCAGATGCTCCAGGAAAAATAGCCACAGCTTATTCCTCCTTTCCCTATAGCTCAAACCTTCCAACCCCAGAATCCTTGTAAATCTTTTCTGAACTCTTAAGTTTCACAATATCTTTCCTATAGCAGGGAAACCAGAACTGAACGCGGTATTTCAAAAGTGGCCTAACCAATGTGCTGTACACCTGCAACATGATCTCCTAACTCAATGGGACTGACCAACAAAGGCAAGCATACCAAATGCCTTCTTCACTGTCCCATCTACCTGCAACTCCATCTTCAAGGATCTATGAACCTGCACGCCAAGGTCTCTTTGTTCGGCAACACTCCCCAGGACCCTATTATTCAATGTACAAGTCCTGCTCTGATTTGCCTTACCAAAATGCAACACCTCACATTTATCTAAATTAAAGCTTTGTTTTGAATGTTAGCTGCAGAGCCTTTGGTTCTATCCTTTTATTGCCTGTGTAAGTTCTAGTCTTATTTGTTAGTTGACTCTTAGATTTATATTCTCCATCTCCCTTCCTGTAACAATTTACCATTTCTGATGTTAATACTTTGCTCTTCAGCCGTGACTCTAAACTTTGATTTGCCATGTCTTCCCAAATTTAATCCCTTGTTCCCACTATTTAATTTAAAATCCTCTCTACTTCCCTAGTTATGCCAGGAACACTGGCTTCAGCATGGTTCAGGTGGACACCATCCCAATGACACACGCACCCCCCCCCCCCCCCCCCCAAACTATCGGAGCCCTCACTATTCCCTGTAATGGTGTCAATGCTCACAAATCATAAACCACACAAGTCTTTTAGCTGTGCATTTATCTCTCTAATCTCAATTTCTCTATGCCATGGGTCAGATAGTATTGCAGAGATCAAATCCTTTAAGGTTTTGCTTCTAATTTAGCACCTATGTTCTCACACTGCAGAATTGCTATACTTGTCTTCCTGTGTTCTCACACTGTAGAACCTCTATCCTGACCACAAGGAATTACAGAGAGTAGTGAACGCAGCCCCAATCTATCACAAAAACCAGCCTTCCTTCCATCGACTCTCCCTATACTTCTCACTCCTCAAGAAAGCAGCCAACATAATCATAGACCTCTTCCACTCTCTTCCATCAGGCATAAAATACAAACGTTTCAGAACACCTATGAGAACAGCTTCATCCCCGCTGTTATCAGAAGGGCCCTCTCAGACATTAGAGTTGATCTTTCTCTGCATCTTCTCTATAGTTGTAACACTATATTCTGTTACTTGGAGACAGTGAGGACTGCAGATGCTGGACAATAAACGTGGAACTGGAAAAGCACAGCAGGTCAGACAGCATCCGAGGAGCAGGAAAGTCAACGTTTTGGGCTGAAACCCTTCCTCAGGACTGGGGAGAGGGAGGGGAGCCCAGAAATAAATAGAGGGACGGGGTGGGTTTGGGAGGTGAGGGTAGGTGAGATGGTGATAGGTGGATGCAGGTAGGTTGGTCAGTGGGAAGGGTGGAGTGGATAGGTGTTTAGGAAGATGGACAGGTTGGGGGAGGAGAGATTTTGAAGCTGGTGAGGTCCAATATTCAGGCCATTGGGCTTTAAGGTCCCAAGGCAAAATATGAGGTGTTGTCCCTCCAGTTTACGTTTGGTCTCACTCTGACAGTGGAGGAGGCCAAGAATGGACATGTCCAGGGGAGGGGGAGGTAAAGTAGATGGCAACCAGAAGGTCGGGTTGGTTGGTGCGTGCAGCGCCCAGATGCTCCACATCCTGGAGCTGTGTTTTTCTATCTCCACATTTATTAACACTATATTCTGCACTCTTGTTCTATTACCCTGATGTACTTATGTAAGGTGGAATTTGCCTGGAAAACCCACAAAACTATACTTTTCATTGTATCTCGGTACAAGTGACAATAACAAATCAAATCGAATCAAATCTGTATTCTCAAACTGCAGAATCTCTACCTTTGTCCTCCTGTGTGGTCACACTGTAGAACCTCTATCTTTTGTCCTGCGTTGTTGGTACCGTCAGACCACGATGACTGGAGCCTCCTCCTCTCACTGCAGGTTCTTCTTCAGCCCTGAACAAATTTTCCCAAACCCTGGCACCAGGCAGCCAACAATGTTGTCAACCCCCATCTTACTGTACTCTCTCCTAATACCACAACTTGCTGATTTTATTCCACTCTCTTGAAATGCCTCCTCTGCCACGGAGATCTAGCTCATCCATTCCACTGCCTTCACTCTCATCTGGAGAAGCTGAAAGGATCTCAAACCCACTGGACAATTACAAAGGCTGTGTCCCCCTCCCTCTGTGTACTCCATACCCACTTCACTGACCAAACCCCACCCCTACTTCCTACCTACTAGCCTCATCCCCGTCTCCTTGACCTGTCTGTCTTCCCTCAACTGACCAACCCCCATCCCAACTCCGTAACTACACTCACCTCTACTGGCTCCATCCCCACCTCCTTGACCTGTCCATCTTCTCTTCACCTATCTGTTCCTTTATCCACCTTCCATCATCGCCTTCCCCTCTCTCTATTTATTTCAGAGTCCCCTTCCCCTCCCCCATTTCTGAAGAAGGGTCCAGACCCGAAACGTCAGCTTTCCTGCTCCCCTGATGCTGCCTGGCCTGCTGTGTTCAGCCAGCTCTACACCTTGTTATCTTTAACATAGCCAATTGGTTACTCTTCACGGAACTCAGACTGATCTGATATCTTTCTAACACTTTTTCCTGGCTCACCTCCAGTGTCTAATCTGTGCAAGCCAGTTCTGTTCTTAATGGTCCTGGGAGAATGTATCCACAAATGAAAAGGATCATTTTAAAAATGTTGCAATCAAGTGAGGATGGGGTGGGGGTAGTTTAATAAAGAACAGCAGCCAAGTCAAACATTGTCCCCCCAATTCCTGTCTGGAATTGTAATGAACTGCGGGACCTTGCCTGGGTACTTGTCTTTTTTTTATTTCAAAAATATACTTTATTCACAAAACATATCTTTGTATGTACCGAGTCATAAAAGCAATTTGGTTCTGTACAGTAAGCATATCAAGGAAACCAAAAAACATTGAAGTTTGACTCTATCCAAGCAAACGAAAGGCATCTCTTACTCAAACCAGACTATATTTTACATGGAGATAGTAGGAACTGCCGATGCTGGAGAATCTGAGATAACAAGGTGGAGCTGGAAGAACACAGCAGGCCAGGCAGCATCAGAGGAGCAGGAAAGCTGACGTTTCGGGTAGGGACCCTTATTTCATAAGCACTTGAGGCACAACTGAATGGACCCCCACTTAACTTCAGCAGGAAGACCTCACACAGTGGTCTTTCCCCCCTGCACCTTGGCAACAGTTGCTCCAAGGTTTAGTGCGTCCCTCAGCACGTAGTCCGGGAACGTCTGCAACACTCAATCGAGGTCAACTTGCTGTGGAAAGCCAACAAGTTGTCCAGACCCAAATCGTCAGCTTTCCTGCTCCTCTGACGATGCCTGGCCTGCTGCGTTCATCCAGCTCTACACCTTGTTATCTCAATAAGTTGTCATACTTTGCAAGTCCAGAGCCATTGAAAACTGCCATCAAGGAAATGAGCACTTTATGTATGAAGTCTATAAAACCCAACTCTTTGACCAGGTGTTTGGCTCAGTTGTCCTCATACCTCCTTTGGCCAACTGTTAAATGTTTAGTTGGTTGTGAGACTCCTGCGATGACCCTGGGGCGTTTTACCACAATAAGGGGCGTCATTCTAAAGAAATGTTGCTGTTTTCTTGTGTCCAGCCCCGCCCAGCACTAACACTGACACTAAAACTAACAATGTTCCGCTGCGAAATCCAGGTCAAAGCTTTTTCACACTACAAAAAATCTACCGGAAGAATACCAGGGAAAGGTGTACAGCTGTTTCTCACTCCCAAATCCGTGTAAACTTCCACCGAATTCAGGAACCGTCCCGACTGCGAAAGTAACACGAATCCCCAAATTTCTGGCTAATTTTCTGAAAACGTCGGCAGCTTTGAATTAATTGTATCACTAGACTTGCACTTCCGATGGGATCATTCTCGCCGAGAAAGATGACACGAGTTGTCTCACCTCCAGACCATGAAATTACAGTTTACGTTTTTCGACAATTTCAAGTACTGACAAAGTGACTAATTCCCCCCCAAACTCTGCTATTTCAGCTGCAGCTCCAACACCAGATACATTTGTTCAAAACGGACCACGTACCTTCAGATTTAACGTCGTTTCTCCATGTCCCGACTCTGAGCCGGGACGGGGGCTGAAATTCGAAAGGAATAGACAGTTTTTCTCTCCCCCCACTCTCCCTGTTCCTGTCGGATCCCAGATTTGGCGCAACCTGAACAACTTACGCAAACTGCGGCGCAGCCGCACGTCACGTCAGGTGGTGAATGTGAAAGGTAACATCTACCTGAAAACCAACAGCTCCCAGTACAACATCTACCTGTAAACCGGCAGCTCCCACCACAACATCTACCTGTAAACCAGCAGACCCCAGCTCAACATCTACCT